CTTTCTACTGGAGGGACAGCCAGGTGGACAGGTGAGCAAGGGGGTGGGTTAACCCAGGGTGGCAGTATCCAGGGCTTCCCATTTTCACACTCCCTGCTACCGCCACCACTGCCACCACACTGAACTCCAGGCCATTTGGATTTTGAGCCATTCAGTGGCAACGGTGATATTCAGGGGTTCAGCAGTGGTGGGCAGCAGGGAGGAGACGGAGAGAGAAGTCATACCATTTTCACACACACTTTTGTGGCAGCTGCCACAGGCCGTTCAGCAGCAGCAATGGTGGTTGGGGTGGTTGGCAGTGGTGACATGGTTTGGGCTGTTCGGCAGTGGTGGCAATGGGCATGGCAAGCAAATGGAGATAGCAGTGCCTGGGCATGTTCTGTTTTCACACACCCTGCTGCCACTGCCATTCCAAGCTCTGGGAGCTCAGCTCAGAGAAGGTGACGTGAAAATAGGAGACCCGTGTCAGGCGCGCTTGCCCACCATCTGGCTCTCCCTCTGGCTGGTCCCGGCAAGTTGGCTGTGCAGCAAGTTGGCCCTGTGGCAAGTTGGCCCTGTGGCAGGTTGGCCCTGTGGCAGGTTGTCCTTCAGTGACTTGGCTGCAGTAAACTGGCAGAAGCAACTTGGTGGTGGCAAGATGGCTCTCAAGATCAGATCAGAGGTCAGTTACATGCCATTCGAACATCAGTATTTATATTTGTATTTATATCTATTAAGAATTTCAAAGTTCCAAACCAGTGCCTTAGAAGAATTCCAGGAAAGGAGGTAGCCATTTTTAAAAGTTGCAAAAAAAAAAAAAAAAGCTAAGTCCACACACCCTGCCTTCACAGCCTTAGTAATAAATAAGACTAAGGACTGAATTGAGACAAATATAGGACAACTCTGCCTACTAATAACCTCTTGGATTTCTTTCATTGAACTGCTGTAACTTTGGCTTCATTTTCAGTTCTATGAAACAGATTTCACTGACAATTTTTCTGACACTTTGGTTTAAAGTGATCACAGTCTTATATGTGTCAGCATTTCTAGACATCCTACAGATTCCCAAAGTGACTTGCAAAGGTGAAGACATATGAATGTGTTGGAATTAAGACCTTTCAGAATTGTGTCCCCCTTTATTAAAAAATAAGTACAGCCCTTCATGTCGTCTTACACACACTATTTTCATGTAGGCATACTGAAAATATACCAACCAGCAGGGGTGGGATACGAAAGGGTTAATTACTGGTTCGGGATTTACAGCTTCCCTGCCTGCTGTGAGCCGCGCCTCATTAGCACGTCATTAGCACGCTGCCAGCCTAGAAGCAGCCTTTGAAACAGCCCTCTTTTCTTGTTTTTTTAACTGCAGCTGTGCCTTGTTCAGCAGCTGAAGTTGAAAAATCAGGAAATAAAGATCAGGTAAGAGCCCTGGTGGGCAGGTGGGCAAAAACATCAGCAATGGTTCTATGTCTGCTGCTCTTCAGAGCTACTGGTTCTACAGAGGTGGACAGAACCGGTAGAAACCCACCCCTGCCTACCAGGTTTATCATATCTAGGCTGCAGAACTCCTGGAAATCTTTAGATACCACCAAACCATTAGAGCTTTTGGGACTCTTTGCTTTCATCTAAAGGCCTCCCAATTTCTGTAAGCCCAATGTGGAAACACCACCATACATGCAGTAACTGGGCCAAACTTTTCCTAGTGTATCTTATTTACTCATAGTTTGTTGAAGAGGTCAGTGTTATGTCTTTGGAACTGGTTGGAGTCCCCAACCAGGTCCGCTGTTTGAGCGGGAGCACCAGCCGCTCCCATTGGCTGGCTCCGTTTGACAGCCGGCTATAAAAGCCGGCTGTCGAGCAGAGCCAGCCCGTTGCCACCAGCTAACCTGCTAGTTAGAAGGCAGACGCGGCAACCCTTTATTCCCTGTAATAAAGCCTGTTCGTTGTTCACTCTGGCTCTTGCCTCTTCCTTCCGCCGCTCTACAACACTGGCGACGAGGGAGGGATATGGTCGAAGGCTAGCCAGACGTGTTTTTCAAAAAGAGCTGTGATCACTGAAGAGCGAAGCCACGGGCGCTGAAGCCGCAGCCGCCGGCGCTCACAAAGAGCACAAAATTCAAAAAGCCTCCGTAGCCTAGAGAGACAGTCACCGCCTGTCAGCGCAAACCGTCAGCGTTCTTCTAAGAGCGCGAATTTCGAAATACGACTGAAGAGGACGAACCCTGCATCTTCAAAATGAATGCTAATCCAGCATTCCCACCACTCAAACCAACCGAGGAAACGTGGGACTCTACAAAAATCGTTTCAGCTATTTCCTCGATGCCATCGGTTTAGCAGACGCTGCTGAACACAGGAAGAAATCCTACTTCCTCAGCTATTGTGGAGCTGCAGTTTTTGACACCGCTACAGCACTAGTCGCCCCTCGCACTATCAGAAGCGTACCGTGGGATGAACTCCAAGAAATCCTCTCCAACCACTACTCGCCAAAACCATCTCAGATAGCCAGGAGATACGCCTTCAGAATTAGAAAACAGGCGGAGGGAGAGTCAATCAATGAGTACATGGCAGCTCTGAGGACAGCTGCCTTGCAGTGTGGGTTCAAAGACTACTTAGAAGACATGTTATTGGACCAGATCGTCTGTGGGGTTAGAGACCTGAGGCTCCAAAGACGTTTGTTAGCAAAAAAGGACTTGAACCTAGCTTTAGCCATGGAGGAAGCCCAAGCTGCTGAGCTCTCTGCCCAATCAGCAGCTGAAATTCAAGGTACTCCGTTAAAGCCCAGCAGTTCCACCATCCATTCAGAGGAAGTGCTCAATGAAGAAGACCCCACAGACTCATCAGACATTAACCGCCTAAAGCAACAGAAGTCTTCACAGGTAGGAGCGGGGCAGAGAAACAACTTCGCCCCCAAACAACCTCCCATTTGCCTAACCTGCGGAGGCTCCCACTCTAGGGCATCCTGCAGGTTTAAGAATGCCATCTGTCTGAACTGCCAAAAGAAGGGTCACCTCGCTAGAGTCTGCCAAGCAGGGCGTACTTTTCCTCAAAGACCTCCACCACCTTCTAATTCCCAAAGGCAAGTGGAGGACTGCTATACCTGCTACCACGCTAACCATACTTCCCAGACTCCTAATAAAATCAAAATTTCTGTTTCCCTAGAAGGTAAACCCTGCAGGATGGAGGTAGACACGGGATCTGCACTTTCAATCATCTCCTGGGAAACCCTAAAGAAGATCCAGCCCAGACTGTCGAAGAAGCAGCTACAGAGATGCCACCTGACACTGCGGGACTACCAGGGCAAGAACATCCCTGTCCTCGGGAAAGGCAAGTTTTTAGTTCAATTCCAAGCCTTTAAAGGCCATTTGCCTTTAGTGGTTGTTAATGGTGCCCTCCCCAGTCTGTTGGGGCTAGATTGGTTCCCCTCCCTCGGCCTTAGTGTAACTGGGATCCATGCTGTCTCAACTTCTGACGTAGATGCACTATTTTCAGATTACTCTGATGTGTTTAGCAGCGAGCTGGGTTGCTATTCTGGCACCCCCATCTCCTTCTCTGTGGACCCCCAGGCAATTCTTCTGCGCCTTAAGCCGCGCAGGGTGCCTTTCGCCATCCGTCCCAAGTTAGACGCAGAATTGGATAAGTTACTAAAGCAAGGGGTGTTAGAACCAACTGATTTTGCCAAATGGGAGACCCCCATAGTCACCCCACTCAAGAAAGATGGCAGTTTAAGAATCTGCGCAGACTATAAAACCACCCTCAACCGTTACCTGCAGGTCAGCGCATACCCTGTCCCTATTATTCAGCACCTGTTACACACCTTCGAACCCGGCACCATTTTCGCCAAGTTAGATATGTCCCAGGCATACCAACAGTTCCCTGTTGATGATCAGACAGCTGAATTACAAACCATAGTCACACATAGAGGGGCATTCAAGTGTAAACGCCTCCAATTCGGTGTAAGTGTAGCCCCGGGTATATTCCAATCACTCATGGAAAGGATTCTCCAAGGTCTCCCAGGGGTTGTCCCTTATTTCGATGACATCTTAGTCTCAGCAATTGACAGATCTCAGCTCATACAGAGGGTCAGAGCGGTTCTAGAGAAGTTTAGGCAGCATGGCCTCAAACTTAAAAGGGAGAAGTGCGCCATCGCCACTAGGCAAGTGGACTTTCTGGGTTATAGGATAGACGCCTCTGGCATCCACCCAATCGAATCCAAGGTAAAGGCCATCCATGAGGCGCCCACATCAACTAACAAGACGGAGCTCCAAGCTTTTCTGGGGCTACTAAACTTTTACGCTTCATTTCTCCCGCACAAAGCATCTATCGCTGAACCCTTACACAGGCTGTTAGACAAAGAATCCCCCTGGCATTGGGGACCCAAAGAAGCCCATGCTTTCAAGTCAGTCAAATCCTTACTCACATCGGATGCAGTTTTAATTCAATTTGATCAATGACTTCCCCTGGTCCTAGCGGCTGATGCATCCCCTTTTGGGATTGGGGCTGTCCTAAGCCACAGACTTCCCAACGGTTCCGAGGCACCAATTGCCTTCTTCTCTAGGACCTTCTCTACGGCAGAAAGGAACTACAGTCAAATAGATAAAGAGGCCCTGGCTGCGGTGGCTGCAGTTAAAAAGTTTCACGAATTTTTGTTTGGGCACCATTTTGAACTTGTAACTGACCATAAACCTCTCCTGGGACTCTTATCAGGGGATAAGCAAACCCCGCAGGTACTATCACCTAGAATGACCAGATGGACTTTGTTCCTGGCGGCTTACTCATTCAAGTTGGTGCATCGACCTGGCAAAAACTTGAGTCACGCCGATGCCCTTAGTCGCTGCCCCCTACCAGTCCCAGTCGAAGACCCAGCACCGGTTCATGCCATTTTTGAAGTTAATGAACTTAAATTACCGGTTACAGCCAAGGACATTGCTGCGCACTCAAAAAAAGACAAGATAATTGCCCAGGTACTGGACTGGGTGGGAAGGGGGTGGCCGGAAACTCAATGTACCGTTGACTTTGCTCCTTTTAAAACCCGTAAGCAGGAACTATCGAAGCTACAAGGATGTCTGTTGTGGGGTACAAGGGTAGTCATTCCAGCCACTCTTCGTGTACCCATCCTGAAGGTGCTTCACGAGGGCCACCCGGGCATCGTAAGGATGAAGGCTCTGGCCCGCAGTTACGTTTGGTGGCCCGGCATGGATGCCCAAATCGCCAGCTGGGTAAGCTCATGCCAACCTTGCCAAGAAACCAGGGCTGCCCCACCAGCTGCCACGCCCACCAAGTGGGAGAGTACTAGTGCCCCTTGGTCTCGCCTGCACATCGACCTGGCTGGACCGGTGCATGGCAGGACCTTCTTGGTGGTAGTGGACTCCTACTCCAAATGGATAGACTTGGCCCTGCTACCCTCGACTACCACTCAAGCAATAGTTAAGGCTCTGACCCGCTTATTCGCTACCCACGGACTCCCTGACACGCTGGTGTCTGACAATGGCCCGCAGTTCACGTCATGTGAGTTCAGTATGTACGTTGCTAACTTGGGCATCAGACACATACTTACAGCCCCCTTTCACCCCGCTAGCAACGGGATGGCTGAGAGGGCAGTCAGGTCAGCCAAGGAGGCACTCGCCAGATTTGGCCAGGAAAACTGGCACACTAAACTGTCACGTTACCTTCTGAGCCAACATACGACGCCATGCACCGCTACTAATAAAGCCCCTGCCGAACTCTTGATGGGGAGACGCCTCAGGACCACCCTGGACAGGTTGCATCCCCACTACTGCCCAGATGCCCCTTTAGGGTCTGACAGTCTGGTCAGGGACTTTGTCCTGCATGACCTGGTGTACGCCAGGAATTATGCAGGGGATCCTTTGTGGGTACCAGGTCAAGTTGTGTCAGTCACAGGTCCTAGATCCTACAGGGTCCTCCTGGAGGATGGACGCTTGTGGCGGAGACACGTGGACCAACTCAGAAGGCGATGGAGAAGTGCGACTGATGCCGACCCAGCCCAACCTTCCAGCACCAAGGACTCCCTGCCGGTACCAGTCTGCTCAGACAGAAGCTCCCTGCAGGACCCGGTCCACCCCGTCAACCAGGAGAGTTTGCTGGAGGACCCGAGTTTCCAACTAGAGACACCGAACCAACAGCCAAGCGAACCTGTTTGCCAGCCGGACCTAACGACTCGCCAAGGTCAGCCCGAACAGGGGGACTTACCGAACTCGCAGAACACCACACCTGACCTAGCCCATTCCCCAACAACCTCCGAGGCAATTCCTGGGGGCAAGGACTTGACGCCAGCCAGCAGTTTACCCGGGTTGTGACGTTCTTGTCGCCAGCGCAGACAACCGACTTACCTAAAGGACTACGCATGTCCCCAGCTGGGGGAAAGGAGTGTTATGTCTTTGGAACTGGTTGGAGTCCCCAACCAGGTCCGCTGTTTGAGCGGGAGCACCAGCCGCTCCCATTGGCTGGCTCCATTTGACAGCCGGCTATAAAAGCCGGCTGTCGAGCAGAGCCAGCCCGTTGCCGCCAGCTAACCTGCTAGTTAGAAGGCAGACGCGGCAACCCTTTATTCCCTGTAATAAAGCCTGTTCGTTGTTCACTCTGGCTCTTGCCTCTTCCTTCCGCCGCTCTACAACAGTCAGTGTTGGCTAAGTTTGCATATTCTGTGAAGCCATAAATCTTGGTTTACAAACCATAAGGGAACTTGGTTCTAAGAGTATACTAAGCCAAATCACTAACCCATATGCAGAAATTCAGTCTTAATCCATGCACGTGTAACACGTATGTACTTACTTGTATCAATTTCTATAGACTTTATTTTAATGTATTTATGATGTATGTGAATTAAATACTTCTGAAATAATTTTACTTTTGTATTGAATAGCATTCTTTGGCATTTCCAGGGCAACATTCAAACATCCAGAGGTAGTATTCAGCAGGTTCTGGAGAACTGGTAGCAGAAATTTTGAGTAGTTTGGAGAACTGGCAAATACCACCACTGACTGGCTCTGCCCCCATCCATTCTCTGCCTCCCGAGTCCCAACTGATTGGCTGGGTCTTCTTTTGTTGCCCTGCACAGGAGAACGGAGCTGGAAAGCAGGTTAGTGGGGTGGGCAGAGAATAGGGATTTTGCAGTATCCTCTCCCTGAAGTTGGGTGGGAATAGAGATTTTACGGTATCTTTCCCCTGCCATGCCCACCAAGCCATGGTATCACAGAACATGGTAAAAAAAAATTGAATCCCATCACTGCAAATATCCCTCTTGACAAGGTAAGCAGCATAAAAATTTAATGATAATAAAAAATAATACAAATATTTTTATTTTAAAATCAAGTCTAAACATCAGTTACACACAGAGAGAATATAACCAAAATCACTCAATAAATATTCAGATAAAGTAGAAATAGATTTAAAAGTCTGAATGCACAAATTTATTCATGTATTTAGCAGATGCTAGACATGCAATGGGTGATGTTAGCAATGACTTCCTAGGAAGTGGGTTCCCAAGGGGGATGTCAGTATTGATTTAAAGTGGTACAATTCTCCATAGTCCACTATGTCATTCTTTCTGAAGCCTCAGATATCTCATCTGATGACAGCAAATGCTTTTTCCAACCTGTATCTTGGAAGCATGCCAAATCAACAATTTTCATGCTTTGAAGTTTAATTCCACTCTGGAAAGCTCAGGCAATTTTACTTCACTCCTCCCATTTACCCTCCATCTCTTACTTCCCGGTTATCTTACTGTCTTACATTATAATATCTAAGTTTCCCCACCCACCCATTTTTAATCTTAAGAAATTACTTTCCTATTGTTTAGTCATTACTGGGTTAGATGCAGTTCATCTGTTAAAAATGACTGAGGAAAGAACTGCTTTCAAAGAATATGACAAAATTAGCTTGTGAAATTTCAATTCCCCTGTGAAGCCAGGTAAATTATACTTGTGGACCGTAGTCTCAAGAGATAGTTGGAGGTTTTATTTGAGAGTTTAGCCTGTTCATATCTTGTGCATCTTGTGAATTATCTAAGAGAAATGCTTCGGAAATAGATGATTCACCCTTTCTCCCCAGATCACTAAAAACCAAATAGGTATGATTAACTATCTCATTGTTGAAATTCTCATTGTGTTCCCTCCCTATTTGCATGATCATAAGCATTGCAATTCTGAGGTTACTATTCTGGCAATGTGGTTGCATTTTACTTGAAACTGGTCTGCTGCCTTTAGGGACTTTTTTCTTTTCTTTTTGCCTTTTGCTTGGTTACCTCAGTTCTCATGACATCAATGAAAGCTAAGCTGTTTTTCTTAGTAAACATTTTCCACAGAAAATGCTAAGACTTAAAAAAAAAGAAGACATCCTGCAGTTAAAACAAAACATTAAAAAAATCCATTCAATATTATTTTTACATTCATGTTATTTCCTATCAGTATTTTAGATAAGATATCTGGGGCACATACATTTAAATGGAACACTACTCAGTATAAAACATCTGGATAAATTTGTGTGAAAGATGAAAACGTATTTTCTCCAAGGAAATAGTTAACTTTGGAATCTGTTAAGTACATAAAAAAGAAGACATTGCCTGGTTATTTAATCAATTCTGTAGTGTGGGAATATTTTCAACAAGAGTTAAAAAATACAAAATAAGTGGCTTTTATATTAAATGGCACCATCAGATGTCCAATTAGCAAATCCAAAACAAGGAAACACTCTTAGGAGAATTAAATTCCCAAAAGTAAAACTTTACTGGATACACCGTATTGGTACTGAAGAAACGAAACTATCTCTGGTTTTCTGCACAAATGCTTGCCCGGTTAAACAACTATTCTCCTCCCCACCCTCGTTGACCACATTGTCCAATTATAAGATGGTCTTCTCTTTCTCAAGCGCCTGAAGCGGTGGCCTTGCTGGGTCTAACTTCTCACGATCTCTGCACATTCTCCACATTCCATTTCACTCCCTCCAGTCCAGAGGTGGTACTCAACAGATTCTGACCAGTTCTGGAGAACTGGTAGAGGAAATGTTGAGTAGTTCGGAGAACAGGCAAATCCCACATCTGACTGGAGATTCTACAGTATCCTTCCCCTGCCATGCCCACAGAACCATTACTAAAACAATCTGAATCCCACCACTGCCCCAGTCCATTGGCAAATTGAAAAGCAATAGGTATGAAAGAAGCAAAGCAATTCAATCTTGACATGTGGACCCCCTGAAGGAAACGGGCACCTGAAAAATATTAAACACAGATTAATAATGGTTGCTTAGGTGGTCTTAATCTTCACTAATCACATTGGCTTCTTGGGATATTACGCATGGAACCTTTCTACTAACTTGTGTGCACTAACATCTTGAGTACCTATCCACTCCACAGCTGAGGGATTTCCTTTCCATTGCATTAAATATTGTAATTTCCCCTTAAAGTATCTTGAGTACAATATCCTCTTTATCTCATAGTATTCCCCCCGCCACCATCATCACTGGAGGTGGCAGCTGGTCCTTGATTGGCCTTAACTTAGAGTTTTGGAAGGGTTTCAACAAGCTACAGTGAGTATCTTAGACAATTGTAACACCACAATAACTGGGTTTACAATTGGGAATGGACCTATGTACTTAGGACCCAGTTTTTTTTACAAGGTGGTTCAACTTAGGTGTTTTGTAGACAGGTAAACTCTCTCCCTCTTCTTCTGAGAGGCTATCTTCCAATCTGCCTGCCTCTTTTATGACTCCCTCGCCTTACTCACAACTTTCTGCATGTTTCTCCAAGCAGCTTTCAGGGCCTCAGCTATTGTTACTGAAGAAGGAGGTTTCCTCAAAAACTCTGGCACTGGTACTAATTCAACCCTGCTGGTTACTTTAAAAAGGGTGAATCTAGTACCACTATTCACCAAGTCATTATAAGCCACTTCTGCAAAAAGTACGAGCTCTGCCAAGTTTATTTGCTGATAGTTTACATAACAACATAGGTACACCAACATCCCCTTATATAGGTGCTCATGTTATTCACTCATTTTATACAAGATATACTTGCTATATTTGCTATAAATTTATATTATGCATTCTTCCAATGGTTTTATATATATATAAAGATAAAAACACATGGAAATGAAATATTTTAGAAAACTTTAAAGGTAATAGAATGATACAGAATATATATATATATATATATACACACACACATACATGTATATGTGTGTGTGTGTGTGTGTGTGTGTGTGTATATATATATA